ACTGATCATTCCTGATAGTATGTCTGAAGTGTGAGAGACGAAGTCTGGCCATCCAGGCTTGTAAGGAGCAGTCTGGCTTTATGAAACATTGTGGCTGAACTTCTTCCAACAGATTTGTTTGTTCTTCTGGCAGTCCATGGTACCACCAACATTCTTCCCCAACACCATAACTCAGATGCATCAGTTTTTCTACAGTCTTCCTTATACACACTGTCCAACTTTCACATGCGTTATGAGGTTATTGAAAACTCTGTAGCACCTTAGTCCTCAAACTGACGTCTTTGCTCTTGAACACTTTGAAGATGTCCTTGTGCAGCAGGTTTGAACAATGCAGTATGGCCTTTGAGTTCATGGTTACTGTTCCCATTGGCGCTGATTGATCTGGATTCCAGCAAAATGAAGCCTTTGACAACTTCAGTCTTTCCTCCATTTATCATGATGCTACTTACTGGTCTAACTGTGAGGATTTTTGTTTTCTTTACATTAAAGTGCAATCCATAGTGAAGGCTGTGGTGTTTGAGCTTCATCCGTAATTGAAGTCTTCTTCACTTTCAGCAAACGAGGTGGTAACGTCTGCATATTGATGGTTTTTAATGCGTTTTCCCCTAATCCTGATGCCAGGTTCTTCATACCATGTCCAGCTTCTTGGATTCCTTGCTCAGCTTACAGATGGAGTAAATGTGGTGAAAGAATACAACCGTAGCGCACAGCTTTCCTGATTTTCGACCATTCAGTATCCCACTGTTGTGTTTAAACAACTACCTCTTGATTCATGCACGGGTTCCTCACGAGCAGTCTGGAATACCCATTCTCCGCAGTGTTATCCATACTTCGTCATGATCCACACAGCTGAAAGCCTTTGCATAGTTTGCCTGTTTGTTGTTGTTAAGTACCATGGAGTCAGTTCCAACTTTTAGTGACCCTACACAGGGTTTCCGAGGCTACAAATCTTTACGGGAGCAGAAAGCTTCATCTTTCTCCCGTGGAACAGCTGGTAGTTGCGAACTGCTGACCTTGAGGTTGGCAGCCCAACTCGCAACCACTATGCTACCAGAGCTCCTTTTGTTGTTGTTAAGTACCGTGGAGTCGGTTCCGACTCATAGTGACCCTGTACAGGGTTTCCGAGGCTGTAAATCTCTACGGGAGCAGAATGCCTCATCTTTGTTCCGCGGAACAGCTGGTAGTTTCGAACTGCCAACCTTGAGGTTAGCAGCCCGATTTGTCAGCACTATGCTAGCAGAGAGAGCTCCTTTAGGAGACTAGAATTCAGGGTTCCGGCTGTTGGGGGCGGGGCTTGTCATCAGTCTTTTCCCTGGGTCTGGTCTGTTCTCAGAGTAGGCAGCCTGGGGCCAGAGGATGAGCTCCTCTCCCAATTTGGCTTTCTTGGTGATAACAGAGCCTTCTGCTCTCTGCTCACTTGTTTAATCGCTTTTATATCACAAGATTTGCTGCCAGTGCCTTCAGTGCACCGAGGACTTCCTTCTAGTAATACCACTGTTTGCTGATTATATGTTACCTGTTGCGGTGGTTGAACATCAACCACTTCTTTTCGGGTCAGTGACTCTGTGTACTCCTCCATCTTCTTTTTGATGTTTCCTGTGTCTTTCAATGTTTTGTCCATAGAATCCTTCAGTACTGCAACCTGAAGCTTGATTTTTTTCCTTCAGCTATTTTAGCTTCAGAAATACTGAGCATGTTTTTCTCTTTTGTTTTCCTAACTCCAGGAATTTGCGCATTTCATTATAATGCTTTGTGTCCTCAAGCTGGCCTTTGAACTCTACTGCTCAGCTGTCTGACTTCCACTCACTTTAGCTTCTCTATTCATTAGCAAGTTGCAGAGTATCTTCTGACTTACATTTTGGTCTCTGCCTTCTTTCTTGTCTTCTTAATGACCTTTTCCTTTCACCCTGTCTGATGCTCTTGCTGTCATCCTACAACTCTTCTGGTTATTGGTCTTTAGTGTCTAAAAATGCGTCCAATCTCTTCTTCAGGTGATCTCTAAATTCAGGTGGGATATATACAAGGTCATATTTTGGCTCTCGTGGACTTGTTTTCATTTTCATCAGCTTCAGCCTGAATTTGCATATGAGCAATTGATGGTCTGTTTCACAGTCTGCCACTAGCCTCCTTTTGACTGATTATGGGGCT